GCCGTCAAGTTGGACCCGACTCATAGCAACCCCTCCTTGGGTTTCCGAGGCAGTATCACTACGGAAGTAGGTTGCCCCATCTTCCTTCTGAGGTGTGGCTGGTGGGTCTGAACTGCCAGCCTTCTGGTTAGCAGTCAGATGCCTTAGGCACTATGCCACCAGAGCTCCTATGCCATATATTAGGGCCCCTAAATTTGCCCCTAGTTTTTCCTTGAGGAATTTTATAGTATTAGGTTTCACTTTTAAGTCTTTGATCCATCTGGAGTTCATTTTTGTGTATGGTGTGAGGTACAGATCTTGTTTCATTTTTCTGTAAATCCATATCCAATTTCGCCAGCACCATTTATTAAACAAACATTCTCATTCCCATTTAATGGATCTCGGCCCTTTGTCAAAGATCAGCTGACCATAGGTCAATAGATCTAGTTCTGAGTTCTCAATTCTATTCCATTGGTCTATGTGTCTGTCGTTGTAGCAATACCAGGTGTTTTTGACTACTGTGGTTGTATAGTAGGTTTTGAGATCCGGCAGTGTGAGACCTCCTACTTTGTTCTTCTTCTTCAATAATGCTTTGTTTATCCAAGGTTGCTTTCCTTTCCATATAAAGTTAGTGACTGGTTTTTCTATATCCCTAAGGAATTTTGATGGGATCTGGATTTGGATTGCATTGAATGTATAGATTGCTTTGTGTAGAAGTGACATTTTCATTCCTGCTATCTATGAGCATAGTATGTTTTATCTATGTAGATCGCTTATGGTTTCTTTCTTTTTTTTAATACATTTTATTGAAATATAATTCATTTACAGTGAAATACACAAAACTAAAGTGATATGGGTCAACACATTTTTTTTTTTTTTTTTTTTTTGCGGTGTTGCGTCCCCTCCCCTCCCACCCCTGGCAACCAACAAAGAAAATTTCCCTACATATATAAACCTTTACTTGACCCTCTACAACAATGAACTAAAACTGTATTTGTCCTTCTGTGATTGACTTATTTCACTAAGCATAATGTCCTCCAAGTTCATCCACATTATGTGATGTTTTGCAGA